CGAAGGCTTTCATTTGATATTTTTATTGAATAATATATAATAATTCAAATAAATTTGCAAGTTCTTTTTTTATTTTTTATTTTTGAACTTGCAAATTAAAAGTTTACAACAATTACAAAAAATAAAAACAGTACATCACATGCTTTGCATCATTTTTGTAAGTTCATCCATGTCAACATGCGGTTCTTGGTTTTCGGCATTGGTTGAATCGGAACCATAAATCATTATATCTCAAATTTCTTGGTCCTCTGCTTCATCTACCTTGTCATGCCCTTGATTTCTCCGTTCGGATCTTATCCAATCTCTGAAGCGCACTAGAATTTCCAAAGAGTTGCTGCCTAGTGAATGACGGGTATCTCCTAGTTGTTGTCTTGCTTGGCTAAATGCGCTCTCTGATGCGACTGTTGAAATCGGCACATTTAGCACGTCTCGAGCTATGGCCGAAAGAACAGGAAATTGATTTGAGTTGCTCCTCCACCAACCCAGCCGTAGAAATTCCTTTGTGCGGGGCTCTGGTGACTTTAATTTGCAAATAGAATTGGAGTTCATCAATATTCCTGCTACTGGTTTGTTGATGCTCTCCTAGTGTAGACCAAATCAAATAAACTTCAACACCATTATAATCATCCAAAACACCGGTTCTAGATGTGTATATGTGTGTGTGGCAGGGGGGCCTATTTGCTTAAGGGGCTAGGCCGAAATGGCCATTTCTGGAAAAAAAAGGGTCGTTGGCCAACGATCATTTTTGAATTTAACCGTTTGCAACGGTCCAGAAAATTAAAAGAAAAATCTAATAGAAACCGGGTTGAAACAGGTTGTAGCCTGTTAAAAACCCGTTAATGAGTTATCAGGCTTAGCGGGTTCTGATGCACCGTTATTCAGAAACTTTTCGTCTAAAACCCGCTCCCCGCCCAACCTGTCCCCAAGCGATACAGTACCGGGGTGAACTGGGTCGATCCGGGTTGTGAAAGGGCCATCCCGGCCCGATTAACACCCAATTATGATGGGTGAAATAAATACTACCAAAAATTAAATAAAAAAAAAGTGAATTGCTGGAATAAATTGTGATAAAAGACATCGTACATTACTCCTTTTTTTTTTCTTTGTAATAACAAAACTGGATATAGGAAATAAAGCGTACATAATAACCAAACACCAATCAGATGCTCTATTACGTAAACGTAAAACCAAATTAGTAAACAATACGAACTATAGCATAGTTATTCTTCTTCATCTTTTTCCTTTTTAACATTCACTGTAGAATCTTTCAAATTGATAATGGAGGATGGGATGGCTTTGACATAGAAACCAATACTCTCAATACTATCTTCATTCTGACTTCCATAAAAACCACCAAAAAGACGATAATTTCCTATCTGAAAGTTGAAGAAATCAGTCTTATCCATATTTTCAGTAGAAGGTGTACCAAATGGTCCATAAGAACCTTTGTTTGTGCCAAATTTAATTGAACTCAAAGCTGTACGCTTTTTATTCATTTTTTCGAAGGAACCACTTATCGAAGTAAGAAATTCTGACGGATAATCCAAGATAACTGCACAGTAATCTTCGCGCTGGTTATATGATCTTCTACCATGTTTTTCAGAGATAATTAAGTCGCCATTGTCGTAGAACATGAACTGAAGTGAAAAAACTATGTCTTCGCCGTAGGAAATAAAAATTCCAGCAATTTGGTCACTTCCCTTTTCGTCCCAAATGTGTCTACCACATTTTCCCACTGGGCCAACTTTGATCATATCCATATTCTCTTGTAATAATAATATCTGAATTGGAATAGTTGGAAGATCTTGTAGTACTTTTTATGTTCAATATATATAAGATCAAGTTATATATATAGAAGAGTTTCAACTCCTGCTGAAGAAGTTTTTGAGTCGTATTAATTAGCACTCAAGAGCCTTTTCATTTGTCACACGTTAGGACTTTTGTTCTTCTATATATCTCGGAATAATAGGAGTACTCTGACGCTTAGTTTCTTTTTCACTTTAATTGTGGAAGTTCAATGAATTTCAGTTTTCATTATCTTAATTTTTTCTTTTGATAATTAATATCATTATGTACCCCCAAAGACTGCAGGAGGAAGCATCTAGAGAATTTTAAAAGCTTATTTTAAAGGTGTTCGGTTCTTTTGCTAAAAAAGAAAAAGGAGTATCTTAGGAGGGAATTAGCTAAGATTGGGAATCTGGGAATAGATGCTATTAGAACATTTTTCTTTCACTACTTTACACAAATTTAGCCATTTTAGAAATTTGAAAATGGAAAGGTCAAGATTTGAAATTGAACATATATATATATATATATATATATATATATATATATAGTAGGTTAGTCCAACTGCGGAGGATCTAAGGGCTCGTTTGGCCATAAAAAAAAGTTTCCTTTTTTCGAAATCAATATTTGGCCATAAAATTTTCGATTTTAATTTCAATTGATGATGAATTTTGAAATTTTTCGAAAATCTAAAAAATTCCAAAAAGCTATTTTTCAAAATTTTCACTTCAGATTACTCCAAAAAATACAAAACATTCCAAAATTATATTCATGTCCAAATACCACTTTAATTTTCGAATACCATTTTCCCTTGAAAAAAAAAAGTCATATTTTTCGAAATTTTGCAATTCTTATGTCCAATCACCCACTAAAACAGCTCAAACTGAATATGGGAGAGCTCTCTCATAGAATTTGATACCTAAACCAAAGGGCTTAGCATTACAACAGATGTTACAAGAATTGTGCATTGCCTTCTATTAATCCACAATCTATAATGCCGTAACTTATCATTAAAAGTTAACTTAAAAGTATTTTCTGTCGTCTACTCAATAAATAAAGAAATTGCAAATACTCTGTCGTTCATGTGGAGGTTCTCTGTTAGTTTTAACAGTGTTTTTGGGTGTTTTCTATTACTTGAATAATGCTCAAAGTTATACTATTTGAAGGACAAAGTTAGACCTTCTTTAGAGATAACTTTGGCAGAAAGCTCTTATAAATGCTATAGAAATCAGATTGACTAAATTAAAAGATCATAAGTGACAGTTTTATCGAAACATGAAGATGACATTTTGGCAATCAAAATTGCAGGTGATGTACCTCACTGACATAGTTTATGGGGCTTTACCATCTTAACTTTTTAATAAAATACTTAAAAGATAATCCTTACATAATAACCATACACCAATCAGTAGATCGATTGCGCAAAGGTAAAACCAAATAAGCAGAGAGTAATTAAATAAGACTAATTATTTCAGCTGGAAATTAATTACCAGAAGGTGAGTTTATATCATGAGTTAATCTTCTTCCCTTTTCAACCTTCACTTCTGGATTCTCAAGTTTTTCATGGAGGGTATGATGGGCTTCACATATATCCCAATACTCTCAACGCCAGAGCTATTGTTGCGGCCATGAAAACCACCAAAAAAACGATGATTTCCTATCTCAAAGTTGAAGTTATTGGCACCAGTTGAAGGCAGGGTACACCCAAATGGTCCATAGGAACCCTTGTTGGTGCTAAATTTTATAGATTCCAAAACTGTAGCGTATCCCGTGTTTATGTAGGAACCACTTATGGAAGTAAGAAACTCTGATGGATAATCAAAGACAACTGCATAGAAGTTACGACAGTCATCAATGCCGTGCTTGTTTGACTGAACTAAGTTGCCATTTTCGTGGAAAAAGAACTGAAGTGACAGAACTCTGTCTCTGCTGTAGGAAACAAATATCCCACCAACTAGGTCTCGACCCTTTTCATCCCAAATGGTTCCACGATTTCCTCCCGCTGGGCCAACTTTGATCATATCCATATTCTCTCTTCTTTCTGAGTAGTTGTAATTGGAAGATCAAGTCAAACAGATAAAGAACTTAATTTCAATTTCTAAAAGTTGTTTGAGCCTTATTAATTAGACTCGGACACCATTCGGAAAGGTTCAAGAGTGCACCAGGGAGGTTGAAGAGAAGTTTAAAGCTAATTTTAATTTTTATAAGTTTATGTTCTGTATGCACGGTTTCAAAGTTAAAACACTTATACACTATTAGGTTATAGGTTAAGTTGGCCTACAATAACAGGCAACATTTCAAATCAAACATGATATAAGTTGCTATAGCTAGTCAGATTACGCTGATTGTGTAAAAACTATAAGCATATATAGCTTAAACTCTTTATTTAACTACCAAAATTAAGTTCCTAAATGGTGTTACATTTGCAAAATGGTAATTACACAAGGGTACTAGTTGAATCATAGGCATCTGGAATTCCAGGGATATAGAGCTAAAGTTTCTATTCAAATTGCACAGTTCTTAAATATAACTAAGAATTGGAAAGAGATAAGAATTTAGGATTTGGATATTCTGGCTATTACTCTGTTTTAAACGTACACATGCATGTAGCTATTTAGGGCCGTCAAAATTGGCCCAAGACCAAATGACACGTCCAAGGTTGGACTTGTTACTGACCCGTTTATTTATTGAACTCAACCCATCATGATCCCATCCATTTAAAGTTGGGGGAAGTGCACGGTTAGCCACTAATAACACATGTATTTACTTTTAAGCCACTGTTTAAAATGTCTTTAGTCTTTAGCTACTGCTTTAATAAACTTTAACTGTCCGGACAAAAATACCCTTCTGCTCATGTCCTTAACTTTTGAACTTAACTTCAGGACATCTGGACTACATGTCCTTAACTTTTGAACTTGGAACTCTAAGTTCAGGACTTCAGGACTACATGTCCTTAACTTTTGAACTTAACTTCAGGACATCTGGACTACATGTCCTTAACTTTTGAACTTGGAACTCTAAGTTCAGGACTTCAGGACTACATGTCCTTAACTTTTGAACTTAACTTCAGGACATCTGGACTACATGTCCTTAACTTTTGAACTTGGAACTCTAAGTTCAGGACTTCAGGACTACATGTCCTTAACTTTTGAACTTAACTTCAGGACATCTGGACTACATGTCCTTAACTTTTGAACTTGGAACTCTAAGTTCAGGACTTCAGGACTACATGTCCTTAACTTTTGAACTTAACTTCAGGACATCTGGACTACATGTCCTTAACTTTTGAACTTGGAACTCTAAGTTCAGGACTTCAGGACTACATGTCCTTAACTTTTGAACTTAACTTCAGGACTGCATGTCTTTAACTTTTGAGCTTGTTACTCTAAGTTCAGGACCTATTGTCCTTAACTTTTGGGATTCTTAACCTAAATTCAGGACCTATTGTCCTTAACTTTTGAGCTTGTAACTGTAAGTTCAGGACCTATTATCCTTAACTTTTGAGCTTGTTAGTCTAAGTTCAGGACCAAGTGTCCTTAAATTTTGAGCTTGTAACTCTAAGTTCAGGACCAAGTGTCCTTAGCTTTTGAACTTGGAACTCGAAGCTCAGGACCAAGTGTCATTAACTTTTGAACTTGTAACTGTAGCTCACAAACCAGAACCAAACACAAATTAAAAAGAAGAAAAGAACAACAAAATGAAGAGGACGTGCCAAGAAATGAGATTATTGTCAATTCCATGGTTAATAACTAGAAAAAACATGTTTTTGACATGCTTCATTAACAAGGGTAATTGCTTGTTTTGTTGCAAAAAGATCACCTGAAAGTACTCCTCCTAAGTCAATATGTGGTATTTGAAGTTCTCGAGCATTAGCACAAGGTTTCTCGTTGTCTGGCCATATGAATTGGCTTGATATATTCGACTCATTTCACCACTGAAGCTCACAAACCAGAACCAATACAAATTAAAAAGAAGAAAAGAACAATGAAATGAAGAGGACGTGCCAAGAAACGAGCACCTCTGCTGCTAGATCCACAGCTTCTACTGAAAGCAAGGTGGAAACAGAAAGTACTAAAATCTTTGCTGGTCTTCTAACCGAGCTGAGAACCTAAACTATCTTCGTTAGAGGAGAGACGTAGAAGAAAGGGTAACACAGTCTTTTCATATTAATTTTAATAGACTAGTGGCTACTATTGCTAAACATTAAAAATGTTGGATAAAAAGTAAATACCACTTTAAAAAGTGGCTACCCCACACAATTTTTACTTTAAAGTTGGGCTGATTTTAGTCTAAATTGATCAATGAGTAGCTTTACCAAAATATCTTAGAAATAACTTTTTTTTGTTTGATATATTATATATGACCATAACAAAAGAAAAAAAAAGTCTTATTTAGTAATTATACAATTCATAAAAAAAAATAACACATACTGATTAAAGCTAGGCCAAATTTTAGCCCAACTTGACCAAACTCATCTCAACCCAATAAACTTTTGGACGGGTCTTTGACCCCCCATTTATTGACTCAACACATTTTGACCTGCCCAAAATCAGCTTACCCGCCCATTTGACACCCCTATAGCTATTACATTCTCACAATAGGGAACAATTTTTTGCTGGTTTGATCAATTTTGAGTTTTGGTTCAGATTATTCATCTTATCGGGTCGGGTTATCCATCTCAATTTACAAGAACTAGAAACACTTTTTGAATTAATCTTGAAAAATTAAACTTAAAAAGAACACCATCAACAACAAATATAAAGCAACAAAAAACTTATTTTGACCACGAAAGACTGTTCTATCACATATTTAAACAAAAATAATAAAAAAGGCTAACAAAAATATAATCATTTCAGAGATACAAGAGAATAATCTTCAGATTAACACAATAAAGCATTAATAAAAGATCGCAAAAAGAAAAAAAAAATCAAATTTGAATTGAATAAAGGAAAATAAAAAGGATATTATAAGTCTATAATTACCTGCAGAAAGGCTAGAAAATTTTCAATAAACAAAAAGAGAAAGAAATAGCAGCAGAAAATAAACAAGAGACAGACTTACAGTGAAGGACTGAAGATGAAGTGGTTATCGGTGGGCAGCAGGGGAGGGTTTTCTCTTTTACGGGAGAGATGATTTTGGGAAAGGTAAGAATCTTTGTCACTCCATTTAAATTTTAAGACAAAAATGGAAGCAAAACAAGGTCACCAAGACAAGAATCAATTAAATAAAAATATTTCACCCGTCTCAAATTACTGTCGTTATTTCTAAAATTAGTTGTTTTAAATTATTTATTATATTAAAAGTTTAAAATTAAATTAATTATTTTTTTTTAATTTACCTTTAATATTAATTATTCTTGAAGACTACAAATACCTCAATTATAAGTAAATATTAAATAAAAAGAGATTATATTTATATATACGTGTGTTGCGTGTGTACTTTATATCAATGTGTATAAGTTTTTTAAAAATTACATGAATATTATTAATCTATGTAATTGAGTTAATAAAATAAAATTAAAAAATCACAAGCTCTTGAAATTGATGAATATTGATAATATATAGTTAACTTATAAAAAACATACGTACGTACATAAAATTATTCTAATGTCTTATCATGATTTTGGCATATGAATTGTGCATTTGCTTTAGTTGCTCGACATGACAGAGCAATATGCTAACTCGTACTCAAATATATCTTGTAATAATATTATATTCTTCTTGTCCTTAAAGAATAAATTCTATTTGCTCAAGTAAATAATATAAATTTCATCTTATTTCTTACTGGAAATCGCATATGCAACCAAAAGAAATCGCGCGGAGACTAAAATAGCTCTGCAGCAGCAGCAACTCAAAAAGAAGAAAATTTATAATCATGGTAGTATAGGGTCTCCAATCCCTACCTGCATTTTATTTTAGACATAGGGTCTCTACTCTCTAGTCTCTTTTCTAACACAGGGTCTCCACTCCCTAGTTGACGTTATTTTAGACATAGAGGTCTCCACTCCCTAGTTGATGATTTTTAGGCATAAGGTCTCCACTCTCTGGTCTCTTTTCCAATATAGGGTCTTCAGTCCCTGGTTGATGATTATTAGACATAAGGTCTCCACTCCCTAGTCGTTTTTCCAATATTGGGTCTCCACTCCCCAATTGATAATTTTTAGACATAGGGTCTCAACTCCCTAGTCATTTTTCCAACATAGGGTCTCCACTCCCTAATTGATGATTTTTAGACATAGGGTCTCCACTCCCTAGTTGATGATTTTTAGATATAGGGTCTCCACTCCCGAGTCTCTTTTCCAACATAGGGTATCCACTCCCTAATTGATGCTTTTTAGATAGGGTCTCCATTATCTTTTTCAACATAGGGTCTCCACTCCCTAGTTGATAATTTTTAGACATAGGGTCTCCACTCCCTGATCTCTTTTCCAACATAGGGTCTCAACTCCCTAGTTGATGATTTTTAGACATAAGGTCTCCACTCCTTAGTCGCTTTTCCAACATAGGGTCTCTACTCCATAGTTGATGACTTTTAGACATAGGGTCTCCACTCCCTAGTCGTTTTTCCAACACAGTGTCTTCACTTCCTAGTTGATGATTTTTAGATATAGGGTCTCCACTCCCTAGTCGTATTTCCAACATAGGGTCTTCACTCCCTAGTTAATGATTTTTAGACATAGGATCTCTACTCGCTAGTTGATGATTTTTAGACATAGGGTCTCCACTCCCTAGTTGCTTTTCCAACATAGGGTCTCCATCCCTAGTTGATGATTTTTAGACATAGGGTCTCCACTCCCTAGTTGCTTTTCCAACATAGGGTCTTCACTCCCTAGTTGTTGATTTTTAGACATATGATCTCCACTCCCTAGTTGCTTTTCCAACATAGGGTCTCCATCCCTAGTTGATGATTTTTAGACATAGGGTCTCCACTCCCTAGTCGTTTTTCCAACATAGGGTCTCTACTCCCTAATTGATGATTTTTAGACATAGGGTCTCCACTCCCTAGTCGTTTTTCCAACATAGGGTCTCTACTCCCTAATTGATGATTTTTAGACATAGGGTGTCCACTTCCTAGTCGCTTTTCCAACATAGGTTTTCCCCTCCCTAGTTGATAATTTTTAGACATAAGGTCTTCACTCCCCGTCGTGCCCCCTTTTTCTGAAAGCGAAATTGGGTTTATGACATTTGGAAGGACAACTCGTTCCCTTTTGGGAATTGGGTTTTTGGGTTTGAAGAGTCGCCACCTAATAATTAAGTGCATTAGGACAATACGAAGGGTTTGACTTTGAAGAATCAGAGTTTGGGTAAGGGCTAGAAGGTGTTAGGCACCCCTCAAGATCCACTAGTGTGGTTCCCGGCCATGCTATAATTTGTGACTTCACATAATCAAATAAGCAATTAAGGGCTCAAGTAAGAAGGGGTTCACATACAACATTGCAAGTAAGTCGAAACTTGAGAAAGGGTAAGAGGGGGCAGGAATTTGATGAAAGATTTAAACAATTCTACAAGGAACAGATGAAAACAAATAAAAGGGAAGGGGGAGTCCTAGGTTTATGATTAATATGGATCACATCAATGCAATACCCGGTAATTACTCCTCAAAAGAGGGGCTACACGTGGTATTAGCGCACCGATCATCATATCCATAGCTACCCTTCCCACCCCATTAAGGTATTAAAGCGCAGAATGGTGTCGTTACTTATTGCATGCTATTACCCGTCCCGATCCTATCAGTCCCAGAGGCATTTGAAACTACTAATCCTAAAGGGGAGGGAGTTGGGCTTTTTCAGAGTTTCAAAAGGATAAAAATCTAGGCGACAAGCAAAATAAATATTAATTAAAAGGTGAACAAATAGCAATTAAGGCTCAAGTAGGCCTCCTCATTCAAAGCAACAAGTTATTTAGCATGACTTACAAGTACTGGTTAGGTCTTTAATAAATAAAGCATAGGATAGGCTGATATATCACATATTTCTCAGATGAGGAGTCCAAATTAGCCTTGTCTGGATGTAGTTTATCAAAACTGACACAGTTAATTAATCACCTAATGGTTTTCTTAGGTGAGACCTATAGACATGACATCTAACAATACTAATTTTAAAGAAAGGGTTACTGGTTTTACAAACAAGAGTTCCGCAGATTGTAAACGATATTACTACTGATTTTAAACTTAGAGATGGTATAGCGAAACTGATTCAGCTGAATTATTCCTATAGGCATGATCTCTAAATGTCATTGGTTTAAAATGGTTACAAAAATGCAAGGGTCCTATAGGCATGATTTCTATATGCAGAACTTATAGGCATAATTTCTAAAACGTGCAGAACTTATAGGCATGATTTCTAAGATGCAAAAGTGCAGAAGTGTAGAAAACTTAAGATCATGATTTCTATATGCAGAACTTAAGATCATGATTTCTATATGCAGAACTTATAGGCATACTTTCTAAGATGCAGAAGTACAAAATTTATAAATAACCTATAGGCAAGTTTTCTACCCTTTGCATGCATTCATCCCCATCCCTTTTCACTAGTCATCCCCAACCGTTATTACAAATTATTACAGACCCAAATGAATCAGAAAAGAAAAGTAAAATTATATCAGAAGTTCCAGCTACATCCAGACAGCCTAATTCTGACTCAAAGTCCAACAATATGAGATAAACCAACTTCCAAGATCAGATTTCCAAAAGTCTTTCTCATATTTGGGATATATCAAAGTTCCCAGGAGTCTTAAAGGGGCTCCGGGCAGTGCTTACACCCCAAACACATTACAGAATTAAGATCATAGTGCAGTGTGGAAATGCCAGCCCTCTAATGTCAAAGTTCAGAGAGAAGTCAAGGTCCCAAAGCAAGGCTCATAAGAGAGGGGCAGAACTTAGAGTCTAAGAGTAAGTGTAAGTGCATAGGGGGATTAGAGAAAGCCATGGCAGGCTGGTGGTCATGGCCAGCAAATGGGAATGCTGGCACACCCCTGACGAGCCTATTAGCCAAACTTAAGAGTTGGGATCCATTGTGGATCAGGTTATGGCCTGGGCAATAATTAGGATACTGCCAGGCCAAGAACCTTAAATCAAACACATAGAAAGGAATAAGGGTAGGGATTCACAATAGAAAGAGCAAAGGAAGGAACATAATTAGCACAAATCACTGAACATAAGCAGTAAAGTAAACAAGGATGCTGAAACTGTGAAGTAAACACATAGGGGTGAGGTAGAAAATTAAATGAAAAACATATCAATTTCAAAGGAAAACAAGTAAGAAAACAATAGTCTTTGAAAAGCCAAGTTGCAAGCTCAGCAGTTCCAAAAGGTCTCAAGCAATGTAGAGTGTTAAATTCAAAACAAGTATTTGCAAATGTGTATGAAAATATTGAATTCGAAGTCTAGATGTAAAGTCCTGTCTTGGAAGTGTGTTAAAAGTGCAGAAGGGCAGCCCTTTTTATAGTGTAGAGAAACAAGTAAGAAAAGTAAGGAATCATCAACGAAATCAGACTCCCTTTGGTTAAGGGATTCTTATTCCAACGGGTGAAAATTAGTGAAGGAAAGAAAATATGATTTAAACCATTCAAAGTATCACAAAACGGGTAAATAGATAGAAGTTATTTAAGGAAACAGTCAACGGTACACGGTTTGTGCCAAATATGGCAAGGGAATCAATTAAACAGCTATGAAACCAAAAAATGCAAGTTCAATTGAATGAACCAAGTCAAGAAAGGTAAAAGAGGTTCAATCTAAGGAAAATCAGTGGCAAATCATTAGCCTTATTAAAGGGATTTCAGAATCAATCACTTAGTTGATAAAAACCTTTTGAAATAGAAATTTCTCATATATATAAGCACACAGGTCAAACAAAAAGAGTCGTTAGGTTATTTAGAAAAAGAGTTTAACACTGAAGGTCTCAGATTCATAAGCAAAGAGATTCAAGCTTAATTATAGACTCACAGTGAGTCTGAAAGC